TCTACTCCCGTAAAGATTTACACCCTCGGAAACCCTATACAGGGTCGCTATGGGTCGGAACCGACTCGATGGCACTTAACAACAACAACAACAAACCACAGGGAGGAGTCCTGGTATGGTGCTGTATGATAAGCACTGAACTACAAGGATAAGCACTCAGTAGCTGCTCCTTGAAAACCTTGTACAGGGTTGCTATGAGTCAGAACTGACTCCATGGCACTTTAACAGCAACAACCACAGGGAGGAAGTGGGACAACTGTTGTTGCATGATTGCAGTCATTGAGATTGAAACAAAGTATAGGATTTGTTGAATGTAAAACCTGGTGATTTTGTCTGTATTGTTGTTGTTGTTATGTGCTGTGGAGTCGGTTCCCACTCATAGCGACCCTGTACAGGGTTTCCGAGGTGTGTAAATCTTTACGGGAGCAGAAAGCTTCATCTTTCTCCCACTGAACAGCTGATAGTTTCGAACTGCTGATCTTGCAGTTCGCAGCCCAATTCGTAACCACTACGCTGCCAGAGCTCCTTTGTCTGTATACCTTCACTCAACTCATAATTTAAAAAAAAAAAGGAAAAAAAAGGCAGCCAAGAAAGAGTTCTGGCATTAGGGATTACAGTCAAGATAATGGTGTAATTTCAATCTCCTCTGTGCCAATTGCATAATGATGAAAGAAGTTAAAAATTGGAAGTTAAAAAGGTGTAATTCTTCCCCTACCCCTCCCCCCCCAAATGTTTGTGTGGACTGGAAGCAGAAATAAATGGTGATAAATCAATAGGTGGTTGGGAATTCAACTTGTGAAGGAGAACAGGAATTACAAGTGTGCTCCAGACAAGTCAGAGAACTAGAGCTAAGCTTACTTAAATTAGAGTGTGGCTCTCATATCTAAAAGAAAGTTGGCTGCTAGGTGCTCTCTAGGACTGGCTTTTTAAAAGATGGATTATTAATAAAAAAGCAAATATAACCAGTCAACCAGGACCTTGGCTATGTACCTGCAGGCGTAGTGGTGACTGAGCCTATAGTATCCTTTTTGTGACCGAAGAGTAGTCCTGAGCTGCCAGTAAGGGACTTAGTTCTGGAATGGGATTCTGGGAGCTAGAGAGGTCGTCTTTAGTTAGGAAAGGATATGGATTGAACAAGAGGAAGGAGAAAGGGCACTAAGTCCTTCCTTCTCAGGATAAGCTTATAAACTGAATCTCTGAAAAACATTTGAAGAAGATGAATGTTATGACAAATAGTCAAGACCAAAACAGACAGTCAAGATGAACACTGTTGGCTTTTCCCCTTAAGATCAATTCTAAAAAAACTAAAAATAAAATGGAGAAAAGGAGTAGAAACTCTGGGATAACAAGTACCTTTGTTAAGCAATGCTCATTATCGAAACCTTTGTGAAATAAAAAATTTGACCTGTTAAAGTCAGGGTAGAATCCATTGTGCTTTCAAGAGTTGTGATTGTGAGATAATGAGACAAGCAAATAGGGGCCAGTTAGTCCCTGATAGTTGTTTAATCATTATCTTCTCTTGACTTCAAGGAGTGGGGAATTTGTCTGGTAGTGTCTTCTAATGCTCTTTCTCCTTGGAAATAAATGTTGACGCTTTGACCTTAGAAATACCGTACTCTGTAGTGTTTGAGAATCTAGTCTTTGAAGAAGAATGCAACATCAGGATTGAAGGAAGGCTCATAAACAGCTTTTAATATACAAATGTCACAAGCTTGCTTGCTGAAAGCAAAGAAGACTGCAAGCACTTATTGATAAAAATCAGACTACAGCTTTCGGTGTGGATTATTGTTCAATGTAAAGCAAGCAACAGTCTTTACAACTGGACTAATAAAACAACATCATGATAAACAAAAGATTGAAGTTGATAACGATTTTCTTTGGGTTCAGTCAACACCCATAGAAGCATCAGTTAAGAAATCAAATGATGTATTATATTGGGCAAATTTGGTTCAAAAGACCTCTTTTGAAGTTTTAAATGCCAAAGATACTACTTTGATGGCTAAGGTGTGACTGGTCCAAACCATGGTATTTCAGTAGCCTTGTATGCATATGAAAGCTTGAATGAATAAAGAAAAAGACTTAAGACAAATTGAAGTATTTTAATTATGGTTTTGGGGAAGAATATTGAAAGTATCATGGACTGCCAGAAGAACAAAATTATGTCCTAGGAGAAGTACAGCCAGAATATCTTTAAAAGACTTAAATACTATATATAAAAGTGAAAAATACAGCAGTAATTTAAAACTAAATATATGAATTAAATGACTATTTAGGAGTCCTGGTGTGGACTTATAGGATAATAACTGGACTGCTAACCACAAGATTGCTGGTACAAACCCACCAGTTAAAGCCCATACAGAACTGACTCGACAGCACTTTACAACAATAACATTGATAGAATTACACGAACTTGAAAGATAATTAAATACGTTACTCTGAATGTGTAACAGAGAGCCAAAGAAATGGAGGAAAGATGTTAATGAACATGGAGGATACAGTGAGAAGGTCTCGCATAAGTTCTCAAAGGAAAGAATAGAGGGAATGGGGAAGAGATGATAGTTGTTCCAACTCATAGTGACCCTGTATAGGGTTTCTGAGGAGCAACTGGTGGTTTAGAACCACTGACCTTGCAGTTCAAGTTGACTTTGTAGTCGCTGCTTATCCTACAGCACCACACAAGGACTCTGAAAATGATAGTAATGGGGTATTTTCAAAGTCTGTGAAGGGCACAAATAAAGATGCATAATAGATTCAAATCAGAAAAATAATACCTATCTGAACCTATCCACATTGTAATACTTAAAGAAAACCAGAAAAAGGACCAGTTATAGTGCCTTAGCTTGATTATTATTGTTGTTAAGTGCTGATGAGTCGTTCTGATTCATAGCAATTCTGTAGGATTTTCAAGGAGGAGCTAGCTGATGGGTTTAAACCACCAGCCGTGTGGTTAACAGTCAAGTGCTTATCCTATAGCGCCACGTAAGGACTCCAATTAGCTTGATTTTGTTAAGTGTTTTCCAGTCAGTTCCAACTCATTGTGACCATGTTTAGGATTTCCAAGGAACAGCTGGTGGGTTTGAACCTTTAGGTTAGTATTCCAGTGCTTAACCTACAGCACCATACAGTTAACCTCTGATTAAAAATGCAGAGGACAATGGAAAAGTACCTTCCATATGGACAAGTACTATCTCTGCCCCACTAACAAAAAAGGGTAAAATACAGAACTTTCAAACAACTGAGATCCTTTATTGTCTTTATTACCAATGGTACTTATATATTCAGAATTAATGTCAGCCTTTTTACATTACCTTGACAATCATAAAGTTATATATTTGGTAGAGCATTTTAATAATGATGAATATTTAGACTTACACTATTAGGAGTCCTGGTGTACACTGTGGGTCATATCGGGAACAGATTTAAATGCTTTCCATATGTTTTAGTTCATTTGAACCTTGAGACAACTCTCATGAAGCAGTTACAGCTACATTTTAGATATAAGGAAACCGATTCACACAATCTTTAAAGTGGTGGCTGGGATATGTGTACAGGTAGTCAGGCTTCAGAGACCGGATGTCTTTTGTAAAAAAAAAAAAAAGCAAAACTACTTCCTTTTTCATTTTTTCTTTCAGTATTTTATTGGAAATGCTTTAAGCTTTCAGAAAATTTGCAGGAATAAAATAATAAACATAAACACCCTATTCACAGGTTCATCAGTTGTTAACATTTTATTTATCATTTGTTTTTAATTATATAATTTTTCACATGACTCATTAGACTGAGTTGTGTATATCATGGACCTTTACCCTTGTAAGAAATATGAAAGAAAGAGACAAGGAGAGAAACATGGCTTCAACAGCAGGTAGGTTTATTGAGAACCTGCAAGTAAACCTGGGGACACTCAGTCACAAGAGACCAAGAACTGCCTGTTCCTTACAGATTGGGGGTATTTAAGGCATTGTGGTTCTGGTTGTTTATGAAGTTTTGAAATAGACCTCTCTGGAATTTCCATGCTGTGCTGTAGTTGATAATCTGTCGACCTTCTCTTGCTTTCAAAGTCAGCAACCCGGACTAGGCCTTCAATAAATGAGCTTGTTCTCTGAGGAAGAGCAACACAGCAGTTTCCTGCCTGTGCATTCCCAGGGGTGCATGGTTGGGGGAGGGCAGCCACCCACTTCCTTCCCCATCCCAGTTGCCACCTGTCACCTGATTTTGAAATGAATCTTAGGCATCAGAGCAGTAGTATGTATTTTTAAAAGATAAGGATTTTTAATAAAAATCATAAACACAATACTAATATCAGTCATACCTAAAATATTAATGATTCTGTAATATATTTCTAGTCTGTGTTTCAATGACTGGAAATGATTGTCTCATAAATGATTTATTCACTATGCTTTATTTTAGGGTTTGTTCAAATTAGTGTCAAATAAGATCCACACATTGCATTACTGATACCTTGTTAAGTATCTTTTAAAATCTGGCAAATTTTATGTTCTTAATCTTGTTCTTGCTTTATTTGTTGAGTGTAATAATGCATGTGTTGTGTTATATTATGTATTTAGGTTCGGCGTTGGGCTATTCTGACTGCAAGAAACTTGGGAAAAGTGGACAGAGATGATTATTATGACTTACAGGAGGTTTTAACATGCCTTTTTAAAGTCATTGAGTTGGGGCTTTTAGAAAGTCCAGAAATTTATACTACTTCTATCCTAGAGAAAGGTAAATTGATTCTTCTACCGTCGCACATGTATGATGCTGCTAACTACAAAAACTATTGGCTAGGTGAGTACTGTAGCTACATGAATACATATGACTGATATTTCAGATAGTTTTTAAGAGTTTCTACTGAGGAAGTACAACTTTCTTTGATGATGTGATAAAAATGGCTAAATATAGAATTTCAACTAGTTCTATAGTGAATCAAAATATTATCTGTTTCAAGTTTTATAGTCATAATTACTGGTGATTTTCTTTTAATATGTGGAATACTGGTGCAATATAGCATTAAAGTCACCTTAGATTTGATGGAGATTGTTAGGTTAGTTGTGTATTACTTATCTTAGTTGTTTTCTACCTAAGCTAATACCATTTTCCCCTTTGCAGTTGAATCTGTCTTAAGTTGTGTTATGGTATTTGGGAGCAATTGTTTATAAATATCTCAGACTTACATATTTGATGAACTGAATATTGTTTTACTTGAACTTCCTACCTTATTTTTCTTTTACCACTTAAAACAGAGAAGGCATTAGAATAGTATGATTTTTTTGCATATGTCAATTCAAGAAAACAATAAATAATTTTACAGGTATTTGCATGCTGCTGACCATTCTTGAAGAACAAGCCATGGATTCTCTATTGTTGGGCTCAGACAAGCAAAATGATTTTATGCAATCAATACTTCACACCATGGAGAGGCAGTCAGATGGTAATAAGCTTTATTTGCTCATTTTTAAAAAATTGTGCTTATGATACACTTTTTTGTTTTTAACATTTTATTGTGAATTAAGTGAAGGTTTACAGAGCAGATCATCAGTTTTTCATTCAGAAAATCATATACTTTGTTTCATTTCTATGATTACAACTCCTTAGTGTTAAACAACAATTATCCCACTTCCTCTCTGTAATTGTTTCCATTGCACCTTCTTTCTCAACACTTCTGAATTTTGTACTTAAGCAAATGCTGCCCTTTTGACCTTGAACAGCTGACCAATGCATGGTGAACATACCTTTCTATTGTTATTCTCCCTATTTCTCTGTGATATATCACTCTGGTGAGTTGTGATTCTGAAAGCTATGCCACCGGTATTTAAATACTAACAGGGTCACCCATGGTGGACAGGTTTCATATGAGCTTCCAGACTAGGATGAAGGAGAGATAAGCTACTTCCAAATTTTTTGTCACTGAAAACCTTATGAATAGCAGAGAAACACTGTCAGATATAGTGCCAGAAAATGAGCCCCTCAGGTTGGAAGGCACTCAAAAGGCGACTGGGGAAGAACTCCCTCCTCAAAGTAGAGTGATGACACGAAAGGAGTAAAGCCCATGGTACCTTCATTTGCTGATGGGTCACAACTCAAAATGAAGAGAAAAACTGTAAACATCCATTGAAAATCGGAACATGGAATGTATGAAGTATGAATCTGGGGAAAATTGGAAGTTGTCAAAAATGAAATGGAATGCAAAAACATCGATACCTTAGGCATTAATGAGCTGAAATGGACTGATATTAGCCATTTTGATTCTGATGACCACATGGTTAACTATACTGGAAATGACAAAT